GATCATTATGTGCCAAAATTTCAATTTTTCTGGCGCTTAATTGGGGTGTAAAATATGATGTTTTCAAGGCACTGGTGCCTAATTGAAGGTAGCGCTTAACTGAAGACAAATACGGTATTTTTAAATATTACACAACATTTTGTTTATACATATATTTTGTATATATTCATTAAAGTAACCTTTTGATTAAAAAATATCAATGAAGGGCGTATCTACAAGTGTCCATTTTCCAGTCTGGCCATAAAAAGATACTGAAAATCTAGGCAAGGTCGGGTTACTGCTGGAAAATGCATTATTTTTTTTTATTTGGCCTTAATATCATAGTTACAACTATCAAAACTAAACCTGAATAATTTGTTGGCAACTACAAGTCAAATTTATATCATATTATTTTTAGAAACTAGCGTTTTTATTGAAAGTTATTTTACCTATATTATGATAATGTTTTTTTTTGTTTAAATTGAAACTGTTGTATTTATTTTCATGATGGTCCTAAATTAACAAGTTTTCATGTTTGATTGCCAGTAACAAAATTGGTTGTCAGGACAACCAGATAACTACTAATTTCAACCCTTGTTATTACGTTATTATTATTTTTTTTCACTTACAGATAAAATTTGGTTTTGGGCACTAATCCAACTCCATAACTGGAACAAGGATGAACAGTTTGCATGCAAATACTGACATTGATTGTCAGCCAGGAATATTTAACAAAGTACCTCAGCAGGGAACTTCACAGACAATCCCATCTAGGTGTGTTAAAGAAGAAACTACAGAGAAGCTACACATGCCAAAAGATAGTATTGTTGGAGTCAGGTGTGGGGACTTGACTGAAGTGAGAGATGGGAATACAGAAATATTACCAATTGAAGACTTGAGTTGCCAGAGTGCAGATAAAGATGTTAGTGAAAGAAATGAGGAGTGTAGTATTGATGCGTCTCGTTATGGAGGCAGTGAAGATGAAGTGAGAAATGTGACAAAACTGAGAGAGGATGAACAAGGTGAACTTTGTGTTATGGAACTGATTGAACAGTGTCCAGATGGGAGCCTTGATGTCAATGGAAAGGTGACCATTGGGGAGGGCGGAGATGATAGGACAATGATGGAATACGGCAGACCTGAAGGGGAACTTTGTGTTAGGGAACTGATTGAACAGTGTCCAGATGGGAGTCTTGATGTCAATGCAAAGGTGACCATTGGGGAGGGAGGAGATGATAGGACTATGATGGAAAGCGGTAGACCTGATAACAAGTTAGAAACTGAGGAACAAGTTAAAAAGATCTTTGTGTGGATGGTCGGGGAAAAATTGGAAGAGAATGAATCAAATGCCGTTGTCATGGATTATTCTTCTAACAGTAGACATCTTGGCGACTGTTCAATTATCCAGTGCTTAAGATGTGGATTACTGTTTTCATCCCAAGAAGCTTTAGATGATCATGAGAAAATTCACAAAGAGAGTGATCCATATCAGTGTGGGGTGTGTCAACAAGTGTTTTCTGAGAATACAATTGGTCCACATATGCAGTCTCATTCCGATAATCATTACGAAGTACCTCAACGACAAATAACGATAAAGAAGCCTTTACATGCCCAGGCTCCTGCTAAGAGATTAAAATGCAGCTCATGTGAAAGGACTTTTCGTTGTCAGCGAGGTTTAACTACACATGTAAGGACACATAAAACCTACAAATGTAAAAACTGTACTTTGGAGTTTGCAACGAAACATAAGTTGACCAGACATCTTAAAATGCATCTTTGCCAAGAGTTTTACGTGTGTGCAAAATGTGGAGACCGATTTTTAAATAACAGTGCACTTTTGGATCATATGAAAACCCATAAAGATAAATCTGTGGAATGTCGGCAGTGTGGAAAACAGTTCAGTT